TTATGTAAGGACGTCCATCTTGAAAAAAGTGTCGGTAGAGATCTTGGCGTGTGGTTCTTCCCCCCCCCCCGGCCAAACCTCACACACCACAAAAAACAACAACGAACAATTAAAACCAAACAGACATAAATAAACAAACAGACAAAAACGCCAAACAGTCTAGATAGAATAAACGGTGCAATTCGTAACACAAAAAAAAAACATGACCGCCAAAGCTATGACATAGGATATGGTTGGGGGGTGGGGGGAATTTTCCATGTTTCTCTAAAGCTGCACCATGCATATCACGGAATTCAAGGTTAACAGGATAAGGACCTCACCAACGAGCCATTAGTGAATCTACAAGGTTGAAGTGGCGGTTGAAAAAAAAAAGGGGGGGGAGATAAGGTGGTGGCGTCACGCTCCGGTGACATTATTCTGTCGAGCGAAACCGGGGTTGGAATGGTGGGGATGTGGCCACTTTCAATCATAAAAAATTTAAACAAAAAAAAAACCAACGTTACAGGAATGTCTAGAAATGGGTCATCAAGACCAGACACGAGAGGCACGGCCATTTACGACAATGGAACTCTGAGCGAATAAGGAAACAGAGACGTGGAGGGGGGTAGGTGGATAGGTTAGGTCAAGACCGAAACAAAACACAAAAATACGGCGACTCCCTTTAAGAGTTTAGAGTGCCAGGCAAATACTACACAAGTAAAAGACAAACATAAGTCAAATAAAAGACAAATAGAAGACAAATAGATCACTGCAGAGTAAATACGACTCCGAAATTATACAGAAAGATTAAATTTAAAAAAAAAAAGAGATAAATGCGTTGTAGAAAAATATTATAGGAAAAGTGTGTGTGTCTATGTGCGTTTGTGTGTGTGTGTGTGTCTAGCTTATGTGGGTCGGTTTGGGAGGGGTAGGGAGGGGGGTGGGGGTAGGCGGATCTGGAGGCTATCAACATGTTAAGAAAAATATTGTTTTGTAACAGGTGGACTTTAATGTCTCAGTCCTGCCCCCATCTCTTCTCCCCCCCCCTAACTGTACACCGTATGTCTCAAATGTTTGGTGTGTACACACACACTCTATTTGTTAGGTTTGTCGGGCGTCTTGGGAGAACACAACCGTGATACGACTTAAGTCGTGTTCAGTGTGTACACATACACTATATATTTGATAGGGATGTCGGACGCATTGGGAGAACACAACCGTGATACGTCTTAAGTCGTGTTCAGTGTGTACACATACACTATATATTTGATAGGGATGTCGGACGCCTTGGAAGAACACAACCGTGATACGTCTTAAGTCGTGTTCAGTGTGTACACATACACTATATATTTGATAGGGATGTCGGACGCCTTGGGAGAACACAACCGTGATACGTCTTAAGTCGTGTTCAGTGTGTACACATACACTATATATTTGATAGGGATGTCGGACGCATTGGGAGAACACAACCGTGATACGACTTAAGTCGTGTTCAGTGTGTACACATACACTATATATTTGATAGGGATGTCGGACGCCTTGGGAGAACACAACCGTGATACGACTTAAGTCGTGTTCAGTGTGTACACATACACTATATATTTGATAGGGATGTCGGACGCCTTGGGAGAACACAACTATGATACGTATTAAATGTGCATATATATATTTGATTTAGTGTTAATTGTAGGTGTTTAAAGTAAGAGTCGCGGGCCTTTTTAAATTTTTCATGTATACTCAGTGGCGTAGGAAGTGGGTGGGTACGGGGCGGGTCCTCCATTGGCGGCACTTTTCTCTCTTCTTTATACTCAGTGGCGTAGGAAGTGGGTGGGTACGGGGCGGGTCCTCCATTGGCGGCACTTTTCTCTCTTCTTTATACCAAGGGGTGGATTTTTCGGCAAAGTAAAAGTTTTTTTTTTTTTTTTTTTTTTTTTTTTTTTTTTTCATGGGGTGGTTTTTTCGGCAAAGTAAAAGTTTTTTTTTTTTTTTTTGCTTTTTGCTTTTTGTTTTGTGTGTGGTGTGTGTGAAAGGGGGCCACAATAACCTTGGCCCGCCCCAAGAGATTACTAACCCTAGCTACGCCACTGTGTATACTTATTTAAGAGTAACTAGTCAGCCATGACCAAGCGGTTTAAAAAGTTTGATATAATAAGAGAGTCTTGGAATAAAAATAGGGAATCTTGTTCTAAGTCAAATTAATAGTATAATTGCTATTCTAATTTGTTATTGTATCATTATTATTATTATTATTATTACTTTCCTTTTTATTTTCATTATTACTATCATTATTTTTTTTTTAATGTTTATTTGTACCATTATTATTTTCATTATTATTATCATTGTTATTATCATTATTTTTTTTTAAATATTATTATTACTGAAGGACATTCAAAACACCAGCTCTGTCAGCCAAACATGCATTTTAACATAATCTTTCAATGCGACCGTACGACCACTAATAGCCAGTGCTTTGAATCTTGGGGGACGCGATCACATGTAACATATTCATGTATTCCTTCATTAAAACCTTTGTCTCTTGACTCGAGCAATTAAAACACCAATCCGATTAAGAGATAGCTCCACTCAGCCTAGGGTTGTGTCAGAAGATGGGACGACCTGCGAGTCGTGTCGACGCAAAGATCTCGTCCTGAGCAGGACTTCCTGTAAGTCATTCAGCCTGGGAAATGTCTGGGTTTTTTTGGGGGTTTTTTTAGGCTGCGACTATTTGTACCCGTGTACCAGAAGTGAGAGGTTGGGATTAAAAAAACCTATTTAAAACTTGTTGGGTTTGTAAGACAAAATGAGGTATCAATCAAATGAAACATAATTGATTGGACTATAGGTTTGTAAACTTACTTCTTCAGTTTAACTAAAATAAACTACCACAAATGACATCCCAATAGCTTGAGTTTAATGGTACCCGGGTGCGAATGGCGGCGCTGTGTTTTGACTATGGGAAACTGCCCAATGTGCCCATAGGGCCGTCTTACAACATCGATGGGTCTAAGGGTAACTGTCCAGTGTGCCCATAGGGTCGTCTTAAAACCATCGGTAGCCCCGTGGGCATCCGCACGGGGTGTCCATGCCTTGAGACGGCCCTGATGATAATAGGCAAAGATTGAAGGCTCTAAAGGAGCACATTCCAATTTGAAGATGTATTTAAAACTCAGTTCCAGCTTGACGTATGCTGAGTACACAGTCCCAGTTTGAGATCTGCTGAGGACACAGTCCAAGTTTGAGATCTGCTGAGGACACAGTCCAAGTTTGAGATCTGCTGAGGACACAGTCCAAGTTTGAGATCTGCTGAGGACACAGTCCAAGTTTGAGATCTGCTGAGGACATGGTCCCAGTATAAGGTCTGCTGAGGCGGGCCGTGTCCCACGAGCAGCGGAGGCGCTCGAACCTAAAACCAGCGTAGGGAGGACGTCCAGTGTTGGGGACGAGGACGTCCAGGGATGGAGGACGTCAAGTGATGGAGGACGTCCAGTGATGGGAACGAGGACGTCCAGTGATGGGGACGAGGACGTCCAGTGATGGAGGACGTCCAGTGATGGGGACGAGGACGTACAGTGATGAGGACGAGGACGTCCAGTGTACATAATCCGAATGCTTATTAAAAATGATCCCAGTTTGAGAACTCCTGATACAAATTGACTGTTTAAACCCTGATGCTAAAGACACATTTCTGTGAATCAAAATGGAATAAGAGCGGGGCGGGGTGGCAAAATGTCACATTTCTAACTGTACCAAACATGACAAACTATCACGACCTTTCGCCAAAAAAAAACCAAAAAACAAAAAAAACAATAAATTTTGCAAACAATTCATTTGTAACCATAGAAACACAAACGACATAGAAATAAACAAACACATACACAATAAAACACCAGTGGATTGAGGATTTGGTGGAGTGTGTGAGAAAAGGGTTGGGGGTGGGGGCAAGATATTAAACAAAATAAATTATTATCTTAAATTAAATGCATTACTTTTAATTTTTTACTAAGAAATTTTACAAAGATTGACCCCCAAAAAAATTGAATTTTTTTTTTGTAACAACGAAAAGTTGGTGTTTTTTGAGATCTGTCTAAATCTGAAGAGTATGTCATCTTGAGATTGAGAAATTAAAATCTGAGGACCCACCACCACCACCATATCCCCAGGCTTGCATGCGTCATATCCATGCACACTTACCGGTGGTCCAGGCATCCACATGGCTGAAGTGGCCGCCGTCGGGAGCGCCTTGGTCTTGCTCCTCCATCTCTTGGGGAGTATCCTGGTCCCTGGTGACGGGGACTTCACCTTGTTCATAGCTGTAGAGGTAAATGAGACAGGGTAACTCAGAAAGCCAAAATCGTCGCCGTCCTCGTCGTCGCTGTAGTTGCTGGACATCTCGTTGTCCGGCACCTGGAGGTCGGGCAGCGACTTGCTTCGGGTCATTCTGGAGGGAAGGCCCGCTTTATCGCGGGAGGCGACGCCGCCGCCCCTGAAACTGCTCGTCGCGATGCCGCCGGGGTAAAACGTGGGGGTGCCGCCGAGGCTGCTGATCGACCTCGGGCTGCCGCTCCCCCTGGAGCTGCTCCCTGAGCTCCTCGGGGAGTAAAATACGGAGCCTATGGTTTCTGCCACCACGCGCAGTGTGCCCGGGTTGTTGGCTCTTCTCTTGTGCTGAAGAGACACCCGGCTGTCGGGAGTGGGGTTCGTCTTGAGGGACTGCATGCTTCTACTGGGTCTGATCAGGGAGTTAGTTGGGGAGTGCATGGCCACATCGGGGCTCACGGCCCCGTGGTTAGTGGCGACGCTGGTGGGCATGGTGGGATGAGGCGTTAGTGGGCTTCGCGCCGGCAGAACGGGATGGGGTGGGGTCAGATCTAAAGGGGGGACGGCTCCTTCCGTCACCCGACACAGACGCGAGGCGGTCATGATCGGGGCGTAACGGTGGTCCAGCGTGACGTATTCGGACTCCACCTCGCCGTCGCTGGACGTCCTCATCACGCTGGGCTTAGCCTCGAGCCCCCGCTGCTCGTAGGACACGGTCCTCCTCAGCTGCTGATCGCTGCCTCTGCGGGGCATCGTGGCGTGGGGGATGGCACGTGACTCCATGTAATCGTTCGTGCCCGTGGACGACCTGCCGCTGTGATGAGCGGTCATCGGCCTTGAGCTTGAGTCTCTGAAGCAGTTTGAGCTGGCCGACTTCAGGGTCGTCGTTTTAAACGTTTCTGAAGCCGCGTGCAAGCACTGCATGGAGCCGAACCTTCTCGTATCATCGGATCGATCACGACCTCCTATATTGTTCCCCACAACCCTCTTGTCAAGAAATCGGTGACCGGAAGTTGCGTTAGTTCTGTCAAGCCTCGCGGCGTCCACCAACGTTTGGTTGGGTTCCTGGCGTTGCTGGGCAGCTGTGGCATCCCGATTCTTCAAAAAGAAACTCATCTGGACGTAGTTTGGACTCCAGGTGTCAATACTCGACATGCTGGGATAACCTTCACCCGGTGACCCCTGGGGCTCACTCCCGGAATTTGCCGGGTCTCTGTCCGCGGGAGACGACGCGCATAGCTCCTTTAAACCATTTGGTACCGATTTGGACTGCTGGACCCGGGCTAAACCAGACCGCGCCCCGTCCAGGTGGGAGAAGCTGTGATCAATGAACGAGCCGTGGTGGAGGGGTTTGTCGTGGTCCCCACCGCCAGTTGAAGCAGTAGCGAGATACGACGATGATGACGACGAGAGAATGTTCGAAGACGGGTTACGGGATATCCTATCCTGGGATATTTGTGAGCACGAGAAAGACTTCAGACCGTTCGTGCTGGGGTGAAAGTCTTTGCCATTCACGTCCAGGGCCTCCACGATATATCCGTTTTGGGAATGACCCACTCTGCGCGAGCGGCTGTGGTGATGCGTGGGCTTGGAGTGGACGATGAACCCATTGACCATGACGACTTCCGGTTGGGATCTTTGGGTGGGCAGCGCCGACATGGAGGCCGACGCCAGAGACGACTGGCGAGTTTTAATCACATGGTCGAACGGTGAGCCACCCGCGACCCCCGGGCCCCCGGGGGCGGCCAGGGCTGGACTCACGTGACGGTAGCCGTTGGTCAGCCGGGTCCGGTCGTTGGGTCCGACCTGGTATTGATCGTCCTGGCCGCGGTCCGGCTTGGATGGAATCTGATGAATGCCGTTACTGGCGAGGCTTTGCTCGGCGATTCGAGGGCGAGAATTGTGCATCGCAGCTAACGTGGTGACCAGCACCATATCCGCCTCGAGAGGGGAAAAGGGAGGAGGGGGGTCGTGTGTGGGGAAACTGTAATTTCAAATGTTGAGAGGGGAAAAGGGAGGAGGGGGGTCGTGTGTGGGGAAACTGTAATTTCAAATGTTTTTTTTTTTTTTTATATAGCCTTTTTTTTTTTTTTTAGATTTACATATTTTTCCGACAGAAATAGTCTAGTCAGGCGAGTATTCCGATGACATTTCTTACGGAATATATCACTTATCGGAACAGTTCACTTTTATTGAGATTTCTTTTCATTGCTGTTTTTTGTTAATAAAGAATGTCTTATAGTCAGTGTTTGATATCATCGCCCGATACTTCTTTGGCCAAAGGTTTCAGCTGACGATCTCAACACAGCTCTACTCATGGTTCGTCTTTTGCTTTTAACAACTTTATTCGAAACACGGTAAATAGAAAACAAAAATCACAATTTGTAAGATGCGGTTTCTACGACCTAACAGTAAGATTGTTTCATGGAGATTCCATGTTTGTTTTGGTTTTTGTTCACAAAAAAAACAAACAAAAAAACAACAACAACAACACAGCGAAATTTGGAAGTTACTTTCAAACAATTAGTTCTAGTAGATAGGGTTCAATGAATGGACCAATAATTCTAGTCCACCTAAATAAGATCATAATGTCAGATATGAGCAACACGGTTTCCGTCTATCGCTATATTAAGACTGGCTTGTTGAAATTTCCCCATATCAAAGTGTAAATGTCCCTATATCAGATTTGAAATGTCCCTATTTCAGAGTGGAAATGTCCCTAAATCAGAGTTGAAATTGCCCTATATCAAAGTTATTGAATATACATATTTCAAATCTCAATACCCCCCACTCTGAGCTTATTGCATATACATATGTCAACTTTGACTACTCCCCACTCTGAGCTTATTGCATATGCATATGTCAACTTTGACTACCCCCCACTCTGAGCTTATTGCATATACATATGTCAACTTTGACTACCCCCCACTCTGAGCTTATTGCATATACATATGTCAACGTTGACTACTCCCCACTCTGAGCTTATTGCATATACATATGTCAACTTTGACTACCCCCCCCACTCTGAGCTTATTGCATATACATATGTCAACTTTGACAACTCCCCACTCTGAGCTTATTGCATATACATATGTCAACTTTGACTACCCCCCACTCTGAGCTTATTGCATATACATATGTCAACTTTGACTACCCCCCCACTCTGAGCTTCGTACATATTGCTATGTCAACCAATTGACCACTCCCCACCCTCTGTCCGTCCCACCACCCCTCGCACAGTTATAACGCATTCGATTTCATGGGGTGACGGGGGTGTTGAGCCTACAGCAATCCATGTATACAGCATAATTATTATTTTTATTTAAATCTAATTTGTTTCAAAGTTTGTAGTACGACCCCCCCTCCCCCCTCCCCCCCCCCCAAACCCAACTGCCCATCAAAAATCGTTTGTCTAGTAAATACAACCAAATATTTGAACGAGGTCTCGGACTCGGCAATCATCGTCATATTCAATAGGATTTTGGGCCGCGTAACCAGTGTCTAGCAATAGGACCACTTACAGTCGCCACCCCATTCAACTAATGTCTAGCCATAGTACCACATACAGTCGCCACCCCGTTTCAACCAGTTTCTAGCAATAGGACCACTGACAGTCGCCACCCCATTCAACTAATGTCTAGCCATAGGACCACTTACAGTCGCCACCCCATTTCAACAATTGTCTAGCAATAGGACCACTTACAGTCGGCACCCCATTCAACTAATGTCTAGCAATAGTACCACTTACAGTCGCCACCTCATTCAACCAGTGTCTAGCAATAGGACCACTGACAGTCGCCACCCCGTTTCAACCAGTTTCTAGCAATAGGACCACTGACAGTCGCCAGCCTATTCAACTAATGTCTAGCAATAGGACCACTGACAGTCGCCACCCCATTACAACCAGTGCCTAGCTGTAGGACCACTGACAGTCGCCACCTCATTTCAACTAGTGTCTAGCAATAGGACCACTGACAGTCGCCACCCCATTTCAACCAGTGTCTAGCAGTAGGACCACTGACAGTCGCCACCCCATTCAACTGGTGTCTTTAGCACTGTCAGTCGCTACCCGCTACCCCATTCAAAATGTGTCACGATTTCTACTCTGTTTACATCGGACGGATCCGATGCAAAACTGTATCGCTAACATTACTGTTACAGTAGCCCTCACTGTCACTGTTACAGTAGCCCTCACTGTCACTGTTACAGTAGCCCTCACTGTTACTGTTACAGTAGCCCTCACTGTTACTGTTACAGTAGCCCTCACTGTTACTGTTACAGTAGCCCTCACTGTCACTGTTACAGTAGCCCTCACTGTCACTGTTACAGTAGCCCTCACTGTCACTGTTACAGTAGCCCTCACTGTCACTGTTACAGTAGCCCTCACTGTTACTGTTACAGTAGCCCTCACTGTTACTGTTACAGTAGCCCTCACTGTCACTGTTACAGTAGCCCTCACTGTTACTGTTACAGTAGCCCTCACTGTTACAGTAGCCCTCACTGTCACTGTTACAGTAGCCCTCACTGTTACAGTAGCCCTCACTGTCACTGTTACAGTAGTCCTCACTGTTACAGTAGCCCTCACTGTTACTGTTACAGTAGCCCTCACTGTTACTGTTACAGTAGCCCTCACTGTTACTGCCACAGTAGCCCTCACTGTTACTGTTACAGTAGCCCTCACTGTTACTGCCACAGTAGCCCTCACTGTTACTGTCACAGTAGCCCTCACTGTTACTGCCACAGTCCCTGTTACTGTTACAGTAGCCATCACTGTTACTGCCACAGTCCCTGTTACTGTTACAGTAGCCCTCACTGTTACTGCCACAGTCCCTGTTACTGTTACAGTAGCCCTCACTGTTACTGTCACAGTCCCTGTTACTGTTACAGTAGCCCTCAGTGTTACTGCCACAGTCCCTGTTACTGTTACACATACAACTCTAAATGCCACTTGCGAACACATTCACGCCTCAAAAATGAGAACTTTGAAAAATATTTCCTATTCATACATTTTGAAGATTTTTTTTTTCCTCTCTTATAGTCTAATTTAAAAATCTCCCGGTATATATCTATACATTTTTTTTTTTTAAAACTCTAATGCGGCACCACATATAATCTGGCCTCACGACTCCACACTGAAATAATATCCATGAAGAAAATGCCGTTACAGTATCCTGGGCTCCTTCCTCTCAGTGTGTTACAAAAAAAATCCCTTTTTCCCTTCGGCGTTATGTCGGTCAGCTAGCTCTCTCCCACTTCACTGAGGGGTAGGGGGGAGAAAAGGGACCTCTAGTACTACTACAACAAACCAGCGTCACGTGACCAATACTACCCAGTAAATCACGTGGTTCTTGGATCACTTGTGCTGTTTAATAACGGAGAGAGAGAGCCGAATGGGGCTAAAGGCGAGGCGACGGGGCTTCACACTTCGGGCTCGTAGCTTTGCGACCTGCGGATTCACCAACAGTCCACCACCACCACCGCCAGGTTTTTAGTTAGGGCCCACGCAACGACTACTACGGCCCATATTTAAACCGTTGGCCGTGCGGTGTGCTTCAGCAGGCGCGGGGCGGAGTAGAACGAAAAAGGGGAGGTAAGCCCCGCACGGTGACGGAAAGGGACCTAACCCCATGCACCGCTTTTAAACGCGGTTCACTCTCCTGTGACCTGATGATGCAGCCATCCATGACACCACATACAAATCCTGGTCTGCGTTTAAAAAAAAATAATTGGTTTTTAAAAAAAAAATGTATTAAAAAAAAGACAGGAGCCACCCGTTATGTTACCAAGTGTAGTAAGTTAACTAATGATAAGAACAGGAATAATATCCTACTGGCCTACCGGTGGTGTAGAGAGTGGGTGGGGAGGGGGCGACCCGGGGCATCGATTTTTTTCTCTTATTTTTATTGAGGGGTGACCGGGTGGTGTTTTCGTCCGATTGGGGGGAAAGGGGTTATCCTTCCTTCTTTCCTTTTTTGGTTTGTTGGAATGTGGAGACAGAACGCTGGACCTACCCCGGGCATCACTAGCCCTAGCTACGCCACTGTCTCCTAAATTTGTTTTTAACATCTTCTTTATCAAGCCCCTCCCCACAGCTGTCAAAGATGGACGCAATGTTGCGTGCTAATTTGTCTTATGAAGAGAGGCGTCAGAATATTTGTAGCTACCTGCTGCTACCTTCTTCCCCTTCTTTCTTTCTCTCTTTTTAAAAAAAAAAAATTGTTTCATATTTTGGACGCCCAATTCAAGATTTTTACAGTTAGACTTTGACACTTCAAATCAAGTTTGGATTGTTAAAATTAAATTCTTTCTTTCAAGCAGCGTAGAAACGTAATCGTCGCTATGTACACTACGGTTTCACTGACCACTGTCCAGGTCCACTGACCACTCGGTATGCCCGCGTAACAGCTGGCAGGTAGTATGTTTACACTAAAGACTGGATGGACCGGGGACTTCTGACCCAAGCGGGCGGAAATTCTTTGGATCACAATGGTCCAGTTACGCCGGTGTCCGGTGGGGGGGGGGGAGGGTTGCGCGGCGGGCGGTTTTGAAAGTTTGGGTGGGGGTAGTTTTATGGCTTGTGGGGGGGGGGAGTGGAGTGGGAGACGGAAGTGAGGTTATGTGGAGGGGTGGGGGGGGGGGGGGTTGGGGGTCGGGCGGTTTTGAAAGTTTTGGGGGGGGTAGTTTTATGGCTTGTTGGAGGGGGGAGTGGAGTTGTAGACGGAAGTGACGTTATGTGGAGGGGCAGGTGACGTGGGGGCGTAATAGAAAAAAATAAGTCTCAAATAACATACGACTGCACTGTTTCGAACCACCGAAAAAATTGCGTAATTTATGGCATAGTACTGAATAAATTGAATTCGGCCAATGTATGTGGAAACATGAATCGAGATACGGGACGATAAGATGGGAACCGTTTCGACTAAGAGCCCTCCGCAGCACACAGGACAAATGAAAATACGACAAGAAATATGGAAAATAGTTTTTTTATTCAAAACTTAT